TCATTTAATTCTGTGAAGTATAAAGGCAAAAAATTAAGATATTTTCTTTTATAGAGAGATACAATATCGAAGCTGTGTTTAGTGATTTTTAAAAATTTCTTGCAACAGTAAAAACTTCTTTATTTTGGTGAAATTGGTGCGTTACGTGTGTTAACTGAACGTTACNAGTTCTACTACATCAAGTTCTACTACATTTTGTAGTCTTCACTGCATTCAGTTCTACTACATCAAGTTCTACTACATTTTATAGTATTCACTACATTCAGTTCTACTACATGAAGTTCTACTACATTTTATGGTATTCACTACATTCAGTTCTACTACATCAAGTTCTACTGCATTTTATAATATTCACGCGGCAAAAAAATATGTAATTTAAAATATATATGGCAAGAAAAGGGAGTGAAAACACGATGAAACCACTTAAAATTGCAATAACTTTCAAACCTTTTGAAATTTCAAAAAATTAAAGTCTAATAATGAAGTCTAAGGCAGGGCGCGTTTATTATTCTTACAGGGAGAGGCACATAGGTTAATGTGCGCCACTGCCTATAAATGCCAGCTAATTTTCACTCTTTCCAAGAATGGATTTTCCAAGTGGTAAAAAAACAATTACCGACAAGCAATCTTACTAAAAAATACATTTATATTTTGACCTGGTTGACATTTTCTATCGTAATAACTATAATGTTTTTATATATTTATAGTAATCATTTATATACAGTAGTGGTCAAACTCATTTATAATTATTAATATAGAATTTGCTTAGTCGTCCCGCCCAAGAATATGGGCACTCGACTATTACGATGCAATACAATACAATTTGACAACAACAATGAAATACAATAAATACAGTTACAAAAAAATAACAATGACGTTAGAGTGCAGATGATTTCCTTACAATAAAGACAGCAGAAGTTCAAAAGCATGAAAAGAAGAACTCTTCGAAAGAGGACGGTTTGATGGTTAAAAATAATTAGAAAATGTATAATTGATAACCAAAATACAATAAAATTAATTAAAAAATTAATCAAATTAGAAAATAGGTATATAAAGCAACAATTAAAATCAAAATATCCAGGGCAATTCAGGATCCAATAAATAAAAAAAAGCACCAAAAACAAAAGCATCAGTGACAATTTGACAACAACAATAAAATACAATAAATACAGTTACAAAAAAAAAATAACAATGACGTTAGAGTATAGATGATTTCGCTACAATAAAGACAGCTGAATTACAAAAGCATGAAAAGAACTCTTCGAAGGAGGACGCTTTGATGGTTAAAAATAATTAGAAAATGTATAATTGATAGCCAAAATACAATAAAATTAGTTTAAAAATTAATCAAATTTGAAAATAGGTTTATAAAGCAACAATTAAAATCAAAATATCCAGGGCAATTCAGGATCCAATAAATAAAAAAAAGCACCAAAAATAAAAGCATCAGTGCTCAAAATAATTAAAAAAGGGTAAAAATAGGAATCTAAACCAGAGTATAGGTATTTAAAATCAGTAAAATCAAAGTCTTTAAAACTAATTACAAAATTGAAATTCAATAATAGAATAGTCTAAGCAACAGAGAGGTGTTGGTTCAATATTAAATCTGATAAGTTAAAATACATATGGGATGATAAACAAGGGGTCCATGAGGTCGTTTGAGGACATTATGTTCTCGACACAGTATTTAATGATATTTCTTATCGTTTGTTTTTGTCTCTCTGTTCTGCACCACGACCTCATGTCTCCCTGGTTTTTAAAAGTGATGCCACGAGGTGTTGTAAATTTATAGCATTCCGTTAGTAAATTTTTGATTGTTTAATTATTATTATAACTTAAAAAGTTTAATGGAATAACATGAGTTTCGCTACCACTTTAAATATGAAAATAAAATCTTCCGGATAAACTGGAAGAGCTCGCAGCTATGCATATATATATATATATATATATATATATATATAATGTGTATGTATTTTCGGAGGCATATCAGGGTAAATATTTAATTTATTTTATGAATATTTCATATTAAAAAAATCATTTTAACAAAAAGAGAGAGAGAAAAAAATAAAATCTTTCTCAAAAGTATTCAAATTTTTAAAATAATGCCAGTTTTACTTACTTTGTTTACAATACATAATTTGCTCACAAAATATTTGTAAAAAAATGTTTTTTTTTTTACTTGTTGTGTTTTTAATCTTACTTTTTAATAACTACATTGAAGTACTCTTTATATTGTTTCCTAAAATAGAGGAAAAACGGGCATTTAATTTTTAATTGCAATAAAAAATTTATCATAAGGAATCTATGTCACTTAAAATATTTACTGAATGCAATATAAAGAAGAAAATTGTTTCGACACTTTTTTTCTGAGAATTGTGAATACACAACTACTTTCGTGCCAGAATTCAAATTAGTCGAGATCAAATTTAAAAGAAGAAAAAGCTAAAAAATAAAAAAAGGTCAACTTTATGTTCTAACTTCATTCAACCAAGCAATGTAAAAAAAATTTAAAATATTAAAGAACCAAAAATATTGTTGTAGAACATTTAAATGTATATTCGTGAATATTAAAATTCAATTCACGAAAGAATCAAAAACTTTCTTTGGAGGCTTATCAAGAGCAAAAGCAGCATTTATTTTATTACTTTTTTATAAATATTTTATATTAGAAAAATTTCGTTTGACAAAAAAAAAAAAAAAAAAAAAAAAAAAAAAAAAACACTTTTCTCAATAATATTTAAAATTAATGAATAAATAAATAAATGAATCTGCACAAAAGAAAAGAAAAAGTAGATTCTTTAATGCGAATCTGTTTATAATCTTATTTTATGTTTTAATAAACTCTTTATTTTAGTATACTCTTTTACTCCTTTTTACTCTATTTACTCTTTATTTATTTACTTATGATTATTTTTTAAAAATTACTGAAACTACATTACTTGAAGTTAGCTTGTAATCTCTTATCATTAATACCGATTAAGTAACCATCACATTTCAAATAAGGAAAGATTTTATTTACAAGTAGAGAAATATAAACGATAGCTCATCTAGCGATTAAATTTCAAATGCGCCGGTTCACGCTATTGGTCAAAAATGACGTAACTGTACGTGGGAAGGGAGATAATGGCTAATTGGCTGGCGCTTATATGATTTGACGACAAATTTCGTTTTCACACGTGCTCGGAAATGTAAATATTTACGTAAAGTTTATGTTTACGTTGTATCACGTTGTTATGTTATTACGGAATGTAAATGTTACGTTGTTAGGGTGGGGGAGATAGGTAAATGTCCTCTTCAGTATTTCAGAGAATATTTATGTTTCAATTGATTTAAATTCATCAAAGTTAAAAGCAAGAAAAACAAAAATAATTAATGTTTTTCCAAATATAAGATGCTATAGTAATATTACAAGAACGTTTTTTTTTTTTTTTGTGTTTTTCCCTTAACAATTATCTTTTACTGTTATAAAGTTTAAAAAAATTGAAATAAATATAAGCTCAAATTTGCTAATACTTCATCGTAATTTAGTTGCGTTATAAATAATTTTAAAAACTTCATAATCAAACATGTGAATTTAGTTTAAAGTAATGACCATGGGGCCTACGAAAATTCTGTACTTAGCCCCCCACATTTTCCCCCGCACATCAGGCCCAGTTGGCCTTGACGCAATAGCAGTATAGTTTAATATCAGTCACTTAGATTCTAAAAAAAATTACCTCAAAACTGTGCAAAATGTGAATACTGTCGTTATTATTTTTCACAATTATAATTATTCAAAGAAATATTTAATCGCATGTCGGATACATTATAAACATGCGCAACACAGACAAAGCAAAATACTGTCTGCAGTGATAGTATTTGTATAAATTACCTTATTTGTATTAATTACGTTGCTGATAAAAACTTAACTCCAGTAAAACGTGTTCTACTTATTTGCTATCAGTACTTTTTTTTAAAATTCAGTTAACTACACTGTTGCTTCTATTGAACTGTCATCTCATTAAGTTTTTAGAACATTAAACTAATAAACGCAGAATAACTAATAGAATAACTCCAGAGAGATCTAAATTTAATTTCTGGAGTATCAGTCTTCCAACAATCATTGTTCTTAATTAATCGAGAAATTAGGCTAAATCTCGTATTTTTCGTAAAAGGAAACTTAACTCCCAGCTAATGTTCTTCAATTTTTTACAACTATCAGGAATTCACTCAAAAATATATGATTAGGTAAATAAGTTCTTCCAGTTATATTTCATTTTACTTTACTTAAACCAAACTGCCATATCGAATTACGGTATAACGTACCGGCATTTTGGGTGCATCATTCCAAAAATCCATTTCACCATAAGATTCGTTTTACCGTAAAATCCAATTCTCCTGAAAATCCATGTTACGGTAAAATTCACTTTCCTCATAAAATACGACACTGTAGTTTTTTTATTAATATTTATTTAATTATAGACTTATTCAAATGTGATAAGGTAAATAAATTGCACTTACTGTTTTATTTTATTTTATTTTACTTGATTTTATTTTATTTTATTTAAACCAAACTGCCAACCATGCAGCTACACTGTAAAAAATTCCAGATCAAATTATTATATAAAGCACCGGAATTTTGGACTCGTAATTCCTGAAATCATTTTCACCATCAAATTCGTCTTGCCGTAAAATCCAATTTACCTTATAAATCATTTTTACCGTAAAATATCATACCGTAGTTTTTTCAGTAATATTTATTTAATTAGTGTGATTCAGATTTTTACGGTAATTAATACCTTAAAAATTACAGTAAATTAGATTTTTTTTCCATAACATGTTCCAGTAAAAATGAATTATACGGTAAAAAGTACCGGAACCCTAAGTGGAAGTACTTTTTACCGTAATTTGCCTCGAAATCTTTTACATCGCGGAGGCTTATGCAGATGATTAAGCTGCTTATCAAAGGCAAATAGAATGACATAATAATCTAATAGTCTTTCGTCATCGGCATTTGTTTTTCTTGTTTTTTTATAAAACGGGGAAGCTTCGAGAGAAAAAGAGGTGTCTTCGTGTTTACGATGAGTACAGCGATAAAAACTTATGAAAGGAAAAAAAAATATGAAAACATTTAATAATCTAGATAACCTTCCTGATTGATTTAATAGGAAAACATCGGGTTTTTTTTCTAGAAATCTCCAAATTTTTTAATGTAAGAATTTGTTTTTGTTATAAAAATTGTATAAGAAAAAGAAAATCGATCATTTGTTATTCATTTAGTTCTTATTTTTCATTTAAACATTTTAAACGTCCTTTTGAAGTTGAAAAGTTTGGTAAGCATAATTTACTTCTTTAGCTACTAATTACTATTTTATTTTAAATGACAGAGTCACTACGTTTTTACTTTCATTGTATTAACGTTTTTATATCTTTTTTAAGTTTAAAAGTTTTGCAAGCATATTTTAACCTTTTTTTTGCTACTGGAATGAATATTTTAACTGCTTTAAATGTCGTAGTCTTTATGTATTATTTTTAGTTTTATTGCAATAACCTTTTGAAACTTCATTTAAAGTTAAAAACTTTAGTAAGCATATTTTTCTATTTTTTTAAAATCAGAATGAATATTTTAATGATTGTAAATATCAAAGTTATGACGTTTTTTTTATTGAATATCGTAAATAATGCTTAGTATTAAGAAAATGGGAAGTGATTACTCAATAATACAAATTTTTATAATTTTGTATAGACAGTTAATTAATGTAGTAAATGTATTTCGTATTTATAGGTTTTAATAGACTTCTTAGTTAAATATTTCGTCAATGTTTAGATCTATATTTATTTATGCATGCTAGAAAAAATTTCTGGCTATTGTTCCTTATTAACTAAGAAATAGCAGATTCAGAAATTTGTTTTATTTCACAGAGGAAATTAAAACTGAAACTGAACTAATTAACGCTATCAACAAAGTAATAGCACCATAAAACTATATCGATTAATAAATTCTAAAATTGTCTAAATATATCAAAGATTCTAAACTATGTTCAAGTGGAAACTGAATGCTTTTCTGTACTAAAAATTAATATTTTATGTGCTATTTATTGTTGATAATTCCAGGCAAGGAAAATGTTTTATAAATTTACTTAAATTGCTAGATACTTAAAGGCTTAACAGGATATAAAACAAAATAAAAATCACGCCAAGCGTTTAACACCTACTAGGATTATATTCTTCTTACTTCACCATTTTTAATTTCATGTTGAAAAAGCTATCTCTATGTGCCGGCTAGTATAGAGGTTAGTGTGAATGTTTCTCTGGTTCAATAACTTCTTATTGTGTTTCTTAGTTAATTGCATTTATCGACACGTTGCATTAGGCTTAATGTTTCTGACAATACTATAAAACCTTGTTCTCCGAAGTAAAACTCGCACTTTTGACGATTCAGCAATCCTTGAGCAGAATTTCGAAAAACTTTTGAGAATCATTTCGTTGCGAAATCTCGCGATTTGTGACGAAACGTGAACTCTCAAATGTATAATGAAAATATTTCCTCAACTCGAAACCTTATCGTAGTGCATTGTGGGAAATTACTAACTAGAATGAGGAAACTATTGTGATAACTTGACACTCGAAGATAAAGTGACGAAACAAGTCGACCGCTCAAATAGTTGGCCGAGTGCCAAGAAGATCACGGGCTCCTATCCCGCTTCAGGCATGAGTGTAATTTCTCTCTCTGTTCTATCGGTTCTTCTTGTGTTGTTTGGATGACATTGATCCGCCTACAGTGTGTCCACGAAAAATATAATAGTTCGTTTCCTGGAAGAAGTGACGACAGTTATTTCGTCACTTTGACGAAATTTTTACTCGGAGCGTGTATCAGGAAACAGTTTCATCAAAAACGAAGAAAGTTTCGTGAAACTTGCATATTCATTTTTACTGCGCTCAGAGGAGTGAAGATAGTAATTTCTTCAACTGGACGAAATGTTCTCTCAGAGCATATTTTTAAAAGAAAATATATTTCGTCAACAACGGACCAAATTTCAATTAGCAGTTTAATTATTATTTATAAAGGCGGGAGAACCTGGTTGGTATGGCGTCCAAGAGGTCATGAGTTTAATCCCCGTGGGCCGAAGACTCCCCGTGTAGTAAATGGTGACTGGTACACTTTAAATTTGTCGTGCTACAAAGTCCCCCGTTCTCTCGTAAAAATTATACCTCTGAGGGTGCTGAATTGGAGAATGAACTTTCTCTAGTTCAGGTCAAATATACGATATGTGGATAAATGAATGGCTCCTCCCTATAAACGGGCTGTGGCATGTGTGGGTCTAAAGCCACACTCTTGGGCATATATAGTTCCACTAAAAAACAGGAAACGCACCCTCTGCCTTAAATTCACTTTATTTTATGAAACAAGCTCACTGGTATGAGCAAGTAGCATTGGAGACAACGACAATTTTTATTTGTCATTAATTTATTTTTTACTCAAGTTACATTAATATCAAATATGGTTATGAAAAATTCTTTTGCAAGGAAATACTGACATTTTCATTTCTATCTTCGTAGGAATAGACAGCGTGAGTAAATGCAAAAATGCTTACTCGAAATCCTGACATCGCCAAAATAGGAGAGGAGATCCTGCCGTTTGAGATGACTCGAATTCCCGAGTTTTTTCAGAGAAAAGCAGAAACGGAGTTGCGTGACACACCTGAGCGTAGAGCGCAAGGGCTCAGACAAATAAAAGAAATGGCAAAAAGTAAGACTTCTTTCATATTCCTTACTTTTATTTTTTAGGCTAAAGGTTAATTTTGACTTCTACTTGCTAGTATTAATTTAATGTTAAAGATTTCTTTTTTTATTGTTGAAATGCGCGAAATGAAGAAAAAAAAGGCTATTCAAAACGATAGAACCAATTATATTGCATTTCACTTAAGATTATATTTTACTTAATTAAGATTAGATTCACTTACTTGGATAGTATTTCACTTAATTATTAGAGAATAAAATTGGATTTGAACAATCTTCTTCCTAAAGGAATAAAGAAACTCCAAACTTGCGTTACCTTCAAATTTGCATAATTTCCAAATTTGCCCAAGCTTTAAAGTTGCGTTAACATCAAATTTGCAGAAGGTCTAAATTTGCGAATGCTACAAATTTGCATTACCTTCAAATTTACTTAAGCTCCAGATTTGCGTAAGCTCCAAATTCGCGTTACCTACAAATTTGCATAGGCTCTAGTTTTAGGTATGCTCCAAATTTGCGTAAGCTCCAACATCCGGAATGCGCTATTAAGGCAGTGTTAATTGCGTAAATGACATGGTTATTTGGTGTGCGAGCTGAGCTAGATTTCTGCTTAGATTAGAGATGGTGAACCTTTTTCAATTAGTCTCCTAGAGCCATTATGGCTCAAGGATAGACAGCTCTCCTCCAGAAAAGATTCCGCACCGACTTTAGTCCATGACGTGAAACATCCTCATTGATAAATGTATCATGGGTTAGAGTCCCTTTGTCACCAGGTTAACTGTGTTAGGTTTACATCCACTCCATGTAACACACATGTGGATTAGTTCCATCAAAAAGTTCTACACAAATACAAATTTCTTTTTGTCTTTTGGATCGAGTTCAAAATTACAAGGATATGGAGTTGAACATTGATAGTTGAAAAATTGAGGTTTAGGTTGATTGTTCAACGACGGTTATAAAATAATATAAAATTAGTCTTGAAGTTAAATCAAAATCTATTATTTTAAAATATCTAGTGTTCCGCTTATTATTTTTAAATTAAAAACTAATCTTTTAAAACCATTATACACTGATTTCAGACTATAAAATTACATTGGTAACTATATTTACTATTTAGATATTGTTTCACTTCAAATGGAAATCGAATAAACTGATTTTAAAAATATCTCAGTTTAATACTCATTTTAGCTTATTATGAATGTGGTAAGGCTGGCGCTATTCGATGACGTATAATCTTTCTGACCAACTTAAATTAATTGCTAATTTAACGGTAGATATTTTTAATATTTTAATATTCCATGTATTAATGCGTTTCAAGACATATTTTTATTGCCTCTTTTTTCGACTAAAAATGGTGTCCTCTTTAAAATGCTACAACCAAAAAGAAAAAAACTTCATTTATAATTCACTTAATATTGTAAACAACTATTACATATTAAACTAAAACAATCAAAAACTTAATACATTAGATGCGACTAAACCTTATTAGCCATGTCATAAATATTTGGGTAATAACTTGTCTTTAAGAACACTCTAGAAGCGCAATTAAATAAAAAAAACAAGTCGATTTTTTGCAGTTAGTTATGTAGAATTCATTGATAAAACGCATGCTCACAAAATAGTGCAAATTTACTAAAGTAATTTTTTTCTCATAACTTAGTTTCATTTATTTAGTTAGATTTAGTTTCTGCCGGCAAAAGATAGCATTGGCGATTCTTAATTTTTATCGCATTTATCAAATTTTATCACATGTTTTGAAACCATATTTTATTGATTTTATTGTTAATTTTACCAAAATCATTACTAAAGCACTTTAGCAAAAATTGCCGACCTTTTTGTGTTCTTATGGAGCCATAAACACGCGAAATTTTACCAAATTCTGGTAGTTTTGACCTCATTTTTTTCAATATGCTTACGAATAAGAAGTACTACTTTTATGTTATAATTATTTATACTTTTCTTTTAAACTATCGACTCAAATTTAATCTCATTTGACTCAACGTAAAAAGAACACACATGCAACCATACCTAGCTTACGTAAATAGCTGTGATACAATAATATCAAGAATGTCAATAAGTAAGAGATGGTCAAATTAAAAGCTATCTAATCTAAGTTACAGAGAAAGCAGTGAAAATGTAAATTGTCACCTAAATCTATAAGTTAAATAAAAGTTAAGTTTTTTATTATAAAAGTTTCACTACCGTTTTTATATTTGCCACCTAGTAAAGTTAAAGATATCACTTTTTATGCTTAAAATTTTTGCATTTTTTAAAATTATTTGTCCTGACGTCTCAAACCTTGCCTCATTCAATCCAAGTTGAAAACATTTATTCAAATCAATGCTCTATTTACACTGAAGAGCCGTTACATTATGACCCCCCTGCCAATAACATGTAGGACCACCTTTACCCCTCAAAACTGCTAGCACCCGCTGTGGCATTGATTCCACAAGGTGCTGATAGGTAGTCTGAGGTATCTGGTACCAAGCGCTCACCAACTGGTCCTGCAATTCCTTCACATTGCGAGGGGGTAGCGTGGCAGCACGAATTTGGTTTTCCAAGTAGGACCACAAATGCTCTATTGGATTAAGGTCAGGTGAATTTGGGGGCCAAGACAAGTAGCTTACAAGTAGTACAAGACAAGTAGTTGTTCAAGTAGCTTACAAACGTCAGGGATTGTTCTATGAGGATTGTGGATCCGAATGTGCCCATGAAAACATTGTTCCTGGGCGAGAAATAATGAAAACCTGGGCGAGCCCATTGTTATAGATGGAGGGTGGTCATAATGTAATGGCTCTTCGGTGTATATGGTCAGCAATATTTAAGTTTCGTCTATTTTATTCCTCCTGCCAAAATCCGACGTGTAAGGTTCGGCAATTTTTGTACCACTTTTTAAGAGTAGAGAACTTAGCAATTTTACTTTGGGTAGAACTATTTCTGTTAGGGTTAAGCTTTGTTTTTGCAGTACTAAAATAAAATAATGTCCCCGGCTAATAATGTCCACAGCTTATAATTTCGATCTGCTAGTTCCGAGCTATATTTCGAATTTTAATGATATTTGCTATTTCTTTTTAATATTTTGATTTGCAGATGACAAAGTGACTAGAGATGTTATATTCAGCGATGATTTCCTTTTACAATACTTAAGATGCAGAAAGTACAACGTTGCAAAGGCTTTCTCTCAACTGAAAGCTTTCGTAAACTTAAGAAGAAAATTCCCACAAATATTCTGCAATTTTCGATATGAGAATATTGTGACGACCATGACGAAAAAAATCGTCACTGTTTTGCCTTGGAGATGTCAAGATGGATGTGCGATACTATTCATAGAACTAGGTAAGAGCTGTTTAGTAAATTTAGAATTTACAGCATCTTTAATATAACTATTTTAACTGCACTCTAAAATCTGTGGTGTAACATCTCTCCAAAAATTGGGTAAACAAATACTTTATTGCAAGATAGCAATTCGTAAATTTAAAATGATGTATCCTTGGTGTTTCACTACACGATTTTAATTGCATAATAATCCACCATTTTTGCTGTTCAGTTACACTAAAATGCACTAAAGATGCACCGAAATACAAAGTGTTATTGAACATTCCTGGTGTTTCTCTGCACTGAAAACTATCTTTGCGGTTTGATTTCCTCAAGACTTATCCCAGGTGTTTCATTACACCATTTTGAATGTTAAATAGCTTCCACCATTTAGGACGTTCAGATACACTAAACTGCATTAGAAATGCACCAAAATAGAAAATATGTAGTGGAACATTCCTAGTGTTTTACAACACTGAAAACTGTTCTTGGTGTTTGATACCTCAAGATTTGTCCTAGATGTTTCACTATACCATTTTAAGTGTAAAATAGTTGCCATTTTTAGTGGTTGGATGCACTAAAGATGCACCAAAATAAGAAGTGTAATTGAGCATTCCTGGTGTTTCTCTGTACTGACAACTATCTTTGGTGTTTGATTTCCACAAGATTTAGCCCTGCTGGTGTTTCATTACACCATTTTAAATGTAAAATAGTAGCCACCATTTTTGGTGTTCAGATACACTATAATGCATAAAAATGCCCCAAAATAAAAATAAAAATGTGGTGGAACATTCCTAGTGTTTTACTAAACTAAAAACTATCCTTGGTTTTTGATTACCCAGAGATTTGTCCATGAAGTTTCACTATACTAATTGGAGTGTAAAATAGTTACCACAATTGTTGGTGTTAAGATGCACTAAAATATTTTGCAATGCAGCAACCTTATGTTACCATGATTAAACCTAAACAAATGTTAAGCAAAACCAATCAATTTTATTGACGTGGCAATATTTTGACAATAATGTCATTTTGATTGTTTCCTGAAACAATAATTGATCATTAAGCAAGTCATGCGTCAGAAGTTGTTTGAGGTCACTATATTAAATATAAGTCAATGCACTTTAGATCCTTTTTAAACAATTTTCTGTTAATTGAAATTTTATTTCATTTATTTTCTGAAAGTCAGATTTCCTTTGAAAAGGAGAACACATGAAAATGCATCGTACATGAAAATGCAACTCTGCTATCATTGCTTTGATTTTAAAATTCATAATTGTCTTCTTTTTTAAAAAATCTTGGTCTCGTACGTGTTCCACCATTCGACAATTCATAATCAACAATTATTCTATGCATTTTTTAGAGATTTCCTGTTGACATTCCCTTCGTAGTTCATTTGTAGAGATTTCCTGTTGAAAGAAATGCTAATTGAATTCCAAACTGTCCAAATTTAACTTACGTAAAAGTTCAGTCAATTTGCGAAGTTAAATTATTTATGAAAGTTTAAAAAGAAGATAGAACAAAGGAAAATTACAGACATATGAAAAAAGGGGGGGAAAGGAAAAAAAAAGGATAAATAAAAGATATAATCTTTTCATCAGCCCACACGATTATATCCGCAAAAATGAGTGCTATCTGATATTGTATCAATATAGCCAAAGCAAAATATATTAATACAATAGTGTGACGAGCACTCAAAACATTTTTCTACAAAATTTGCAACAAATAAAATAGAACACAATAAGTAAAAATAACACGTAAAAACAGAAAATAAAATAAAATAAAAAGTAGAAACAGAATAAAACATAATCTATAAAGCGAGTAGCGAATTCAAATGTACATAGATGAACGGGAAATTTTTCAAGAAAGATTTAAAAAATATTTTCGTAACAAGATTGCCAGATTGCAAAATATGAAAACAAAAGCGCAAATTGAGCGTAACTAGAGGATATTTGTTTTAAAGTGCCGTTCTTACTGCATTGTTGAAGTGCGTTTGATTTGTTAGTTACCAAGGAGATATATATAAGTCTAATTAAGTAAAGAAAAAGAACAGGAATACTGCTAAAATGATTGGCAGAAAATATTAATTGAGAGAGAATAAATCGAAACAACTTCAATCAATTAGTTTCGATATTTATTGTTCCATTATAATATTTATTAATTGATATTTATATTTGCCTTCCGGATTGTGTAGTGGTTTGGGGATTGGCCTTGAAACCCGAAAAGTTAATGGATGTTCCTTCATTCTCTGAACTACATGTTATTACTGTGAGAGCAACGTTGGCCCACCTAATATGGTGCTCCTCAAAGAGTGGCCAACAAAACTGCCCTATTATGCAAATTAACAGATGTCATCCGGGAAGCAAATATTTGGAAAAAAATATTTTCCACCTCGTTTTTCACAAAAATACTAAAATATATATCAAGAGTAATCATAATTGAACAATCTATGTCTAAACATGCCTCTCATACCAATCGATAAATTTCCAAATTTATTATGAAACTATATAAAACTATATAAAGCATATACATGTCCAACTAAATACAGTTTATTCCGTCTTCGTATGCAATCTTAAAATGCAAATTAATATTGGATGCTCGCACTATCCCTTGAATAGAGTTCATTCCATTTATTATATAATATAATTGATTATATTTTTTACGGATATGTATTTTATGGATCAAATTTAAATGCCCACCACATAAATTTTAACTTATTATAAGTATTTTCTATTTAAATATGAGTATTTTCTAATTAAAATATAATATGCGTACAATTTAAAAATTGTACATTTTGAAGTAATTAAAATATAACCTTAGTATGTCCAACAGTAGTTTAACTTTTTGAAATTACTTATTATAATACAATAATAAACGTTTTGTACATCATTAGTTAGAAAAATATCATTTAATATATGTCGTAATGCGTAATTAATTGAATGTTACAAAAATGAATTCCTAAAAATTAATCAATGTGTTAGAATATCATATGTGTAGTCATACATCATTAATTAAATATATTAGAGAAACAATACCTTAGAAATTAATTATTAAACGATCAAGGCAAGAAAATTGAAAGTATTAAATAATTAATCTTCGAATTATGTTAATCCAGATATCATATATTGAATCATATATCATTGGCATCAAAATTGGAAGAAAAAAATATCCTTGAGATAATTTACTCAGTTTCTGCATGTTACAAACCTTCTTTTCAATTACATACTTTCAACAATTTCTCTATTTATTCTAGATCACTTGCATTACAAAAAACAATACGACCTAATTTTCGGCGAAACGTGAAACTTCTTCACGTGAACGTTCTAATAAACGAAAAAGAGAACGCATTCTTCTATTCTATCTAGTAAAATATTTCTTATTATATTTTACTATGTTTTTATTTACTCGCTTTCGTGCATGTAGTGACTTAGCAATCGAAATTTTTACCCCTTTTTGACTAGCGAGAGCACTTAAATCTGCAGTGGAGCTCCGTGCTTAGAAACAATACAATATTTTCTGACAGCTGCTAATAATATTTATAGTCAAACAAAATTCTGATCCCTTTCTGACTAACTATGCTTAGATTTTAACTGGAGCTGAATAACAATACAACTTCCTTTCATTCCCTAAACGCGACAAGAAGTATTTGTTGAAATATTATCGTCAAAAGGAATTTATATTCAATCAAAATTCTGATCCCTTTCTGACTAACTATGCTTAGATTTTAACTGGAGCTGAATAACAATACAACTTCCTTTCATTCCCTAAACGCGACAAGAAGTATTTGTTGAAATATTATCGTCAAAAGGAATTTATATTCAATCAAAATTCCGTCCACTTTGAGCTTGTCTAGAGTACTGAAATTTAAACTTTCCTTTTCTGTGCCATATGTTATCGTTTTCTGATAGCTAAAATAATAATTCATCGCCAAATCAATAAATATTAATTTCGATCACTTTTTGACTAGTTTAAGAGGTTGCATTTTAACTGGTGCTATGAGTCTAATTTCAATGGTTTAGAAAATAGACAAAATTTATAATCACGAAATAGAATTTATCGTCATTCAAAATTCCACCCACTTACGGCTGTTGAACTTTCAATTGGAGTTCCGTGAACGATGAAAATACAAGCTGCGTATGTCGAAAATCGTACAGCACATCAGATTTGTAATTAAATTTCATTACCACCAAAGCCCCCTCACATATTTTTTTGAAATTATGCACCCTTTGCTGTCTTTGGTCTGTGTAAAACAAAATTATCTTCTCCCTTTTAGTTTTCATTTATTTTTACTGCTTCGTTTATCAAAAGAACATTCGTTTATGTTATAAATATTTTATTCTAGATATTCTTTTTCTTTTATTCTTACACCATTACAAAAATAGCAGAAATGTTTCATGTTCCAAAGAAATGTTTCAAGTAAGAAAAGATTCTTCAAAGATCAATTTTGAAGATTAATTTCAATAATCTGAAAGTTTATATTTATGCTTTAATTGAAAACAATTTTCGAGATAAATAAAATTTAAAAGGATCACAAAACTCAAATTCAAGAAGAGGATATTAATTAATGACTCTCAAAATATTTTTATTAAAATTATAAGTTGATGAATGAATAAGTTTGATAATCGATATCTTTTGTTTAGATCTAATAAACTACTTTTCATTTAATAAGAAATCAGTTGAGTTAAAGGGGCAACTAACTTTAAGATTATTTGTTTATTGTTTTATAAAGTTTCACTTAAATTTTCTTATAAACATAAGAGTCGCTATAATCATGAATCAGTTTTATCTTATCCACGCTATTATTAAAATAAAAAGAAACCAAAAAGTGAAACTTCTAAAATGTTTATTAGTACCAAGGTTGATGAACTTGATTGTAAACCTCTGTAAACAGACTTACTTTTTACATAAACTTAATCTGTCAGAACCTTTCCAACTCTCGTTATCCAGAGGGCGCTCCTAACCCAAAAAAATAATCGTTTGCGTTACTTAAAATATTAAATTTTAACAGAAAGAGAATTGTCTTTCCAACTCTAGTTATCCAGAGGGAGCTCCTAACCTAAAAAAATAATCGTTTGCGTTACTTAAAATATTAAATTTTAACAGAAAGAGAATTGTCTTTTAAACAAAAGAATTGGTGAAATTATATATATTTAGCTTAATTTAGTTTTTTTAAATGTAAATAGCATTGTTTTTGTCTTTTTATGTTTCAGTAAAAGACCTATAATTTGTTCTGTACGTCCGCTAGAACATGTTAATATTAGATATTTAGCATTATAAGCAACCTTGAAATGGCTAACTGGATGAAATGGCTAACCTGACAGAAGCAAAATTGCTTTAATTATAGTTCATTTGAGTTTAATGAGTTTGCATGTCACGTAACAGTTAAGTTGCTGATCTAGTTATACCGATTGATTTTTATGATTGAGTTATACCGAGAATTTTTTAAGAAATTTCGTTTCAAACCCTACGCTTTTATTACCTATTGTATTTAATATATGATACAATATTTACGTTGTATTTTTTTTCTATAATGCAATTTTTATTTATGTTATTTATGTTTTTATATATTTGAAAATACATTTTTTGTTTGTATTTTTTCCTTTTATTTAGATAATTGGAACCCTGATGAATTTCCTGTAGAGGAAGTGAAACGAATGGTAGTTCTTATGCTCCTACAGTCTCTAAGAGAACCCATGACTCAAATAAACGGATTCAAGGTTATTTTTGACGTCAAAAGCAACCCCCTGCGGCATTTAAGGCACGCCACTCCTTCCAATCTCTATCTTCTAATTCACGGAACGCAAGTTAGTTGCAGTTAATTAAATCAATTTAAAAAAAGCTAAAACAAAATGTTTAAAGACTGATGTTGCACTGTAAGAAGTTTTGGAAAGTGTTGAATCATATAATTGTTCAAATATACTGCAACTTTAATCTTTAGCTAATTTTTGCCATGCTATCATATTTCTTAAACACGATTACTCGATACTATGATTGAACTTGTAAAGAAACACTATCTAATTTAACACCTTAATGAGGTAGTAACAAATTTGTATCGCCTTATGATTCAGAGTACACACATTATGGTTCAACAAAACGTCGAGCAGATTTACTTGAGAGTTTAAGTTGTTTGTTTCCTTGAAAGGAGAGGAACCATTTTGATTTAATTTAGAACCGGAGTCTAAAAAACAGCCCAAATTATGAGTTCACGATTATCAATGGTCAACTCCATAATCTTGAAATTTTAAATGATAAAGCTACTGGATCAAGCATTGGGGTGACCTTCGTATAAGACATTTTGGAAAAAAGCTACGAAAACCTCCCAGAGTTAGCCTACCATGATCACTCTCTATCATGCAGGATCGAGCCGGGAGCAGAATTCGTATTGAACAGTCATCGCTGGGATTCGAATCTGGATCACATTTTCGGGAATCGAGCTCTCTATCCCCTGAACCACCACGGATTAGAGGGAAATCATTTTATATTTTATAATTAAGGCTGAACAGGGGACCCAATTCTGAGTTTACGGATATCAATGTTCAACTTCATAAACTTGTAATTTTGAACCCAACTCAAAAGACACGAGAACTCTTGGATCAATCATTGTGACAAACTACCCTTCCTGGATGGCTTTTTTCTCGATCTAACTCACATTTGCGTTACGCGGAGAGTAAAACTACGAAAGCGTCCCACCGATAGTCAGAGGGCGATTCTAACCCATGGTCCATCTACCACTGAGGATATTTTGCGTCAGCACCGGTGCGTCAGATGTTCTCGTTGTGGGCCGAGAGCGGAATTCGTATCAACCAGCCGCATCTGGGATTCGAACCTGAGTCATCTCTGTGAGAAGTGAACGCTCTATCCTCTGAGTCATCGCGAAGAGGAATCATTTTATTTTATTTTATAACCGTCGTTGAACAGCCGACCCAATTTCATGGGTTTACGACTACTTACGTTCAACTCCGTAGCCTTGTAATTTTGAACCAATCCAGAAGACAAGGAAACTCCTGGATCAGTACCCCCAGAGGTATTTATTTGTTGTGGAAACATGGATATGGATACAAACATTGATACGAACATTGACAAGGTTCGAACTAACACATTAGTAATATGTCATCTGTGCTAATACGTTTTTAATACAGCATCGTTATCATTATCATCATTATTAGGTTGTCGTCATAATTATAATTATCGTTATCATCACCAGTTTATACATAATACCTGATTCATTTTTACTTTGATCTCAATTAGTTAACACTTTTAAAAAATATAAAAATGTAAAATCAGTTCAAGTTTAGTTGCAACTATTTTTCTTCTCAATGTTTTAAATACTTGGCGACTATTTTGGCTCATGAATATTTGTCTGAGTATATTTTTCACTCTATTTGCATTCAGTTTATATGTAAATGTCTCCATGTCAACCTATATTTTGTAAGTTTTTAATCTCAAATACTTTTAATAGGATTGTGTACCAGGAAGATATAAAGGTGTTCATATTGTCAATAATTCCCTCACATTCAAGACTGCGTGGCTGATACTTAAACATTTCCTTCCTGACAAGTTGAAAAATAGGGTAATATTTTATTTACTTTCTCTATTTATAATCAAAATAATGTAAAGCAAGAAGAAAGTTTGGTTTGGTTGTTAACATCACATTAGAACTACATAAATGGGCTTTGGTGTTGGTCTGAGATTTATATTTAATGAGGATTTGAAGACAATACTGGTACTATTACACTACCACAATTCTAATCAGAGGACAAATGGTGGATCATGCTCTCCAGTTGCCTAAGTCAACGATTCCCAATTTTGTTCGGCTATGGAACCCTAAATAATAAACTTTTTTTAGTGGAACCTTATGAATAAAATTTATTAAGGTAATTGTGAAAGTTAGAACCTAGAAAAGACTTTTTTTTAATAAATATTTAATTAGATGAATGAAATTTTTTAATCGTTTTATCATTGAAAATCTTTAATTTGCAGTTCTTATTTTCATTTAATTAAATATAATTTTGTTAAATTTGCAGTTCTTGTGCTATATCTAGTCCAGTTAAAAATTTGTTTCTGATGTATATACATAAGTTTGAAATGAACAAAATAAGCCGAATTTTAGTTTACACCGAGATGAAAGTTTAAGCAAACTACTGTAAACATTGGAAACGATTATTATTAAAACATATTTTTTTAACATCAATTTCAATTTGACCGGGATAGCCTGGTTGACCCCGGCTGAAATTGACCGGCTGAACTCGCATTCGTGAGAACGGGAGTTTGATTTCAGCCGGCTAAAGAGCCCCGTATAGTAAATGGTGACTGATGCACATAAAATCTGCCGGGTCACAAAGTCCTCCGTGTTCATATAACAAATTATACCACTGGGGTACAGAATTGGAGATTGATCGCCCCCTGGTTCTGGTCAAAATTGCGATCTGTGGAGGCATGAATGGATGTATGAATGGGTCTACCCTATAAACAGGTGCGACGAATGGGTGTGGCAGAAGACGTATTCTTGGCCATAGATGGCACCACTGGAAAACAAGAACAATCACACCCCTTGCTTTAATGGCACATGACAACAAAAAGGACTTCAATTCTTTTATTTTGATTTGAAAAGCATGATGGGAAATACTAATGTAATAATTTATAAATGCTTATTCCTTTCATACTTCGTTCAATATTGTATTATAAATATATTTTCTCTTAAACAATACCATTTCTATTTCGTTGGCACTTTACTTGAAATAATTTCGGAAACAGCAGCCGAAAAATTAAATAAATAAGGAATAACAAGTTGGATCTAAATATAATCGGAGGTTTCAAAACTCATTACTGGTTTTAAACAGTGCTAAATCGCGAAACCTCTCCACTCTTCAATGGAACATCATTTGGCAGCAGCTGTCCTAACTTATGCTTCGGAATTTCTGGTTCTGAAACCACCAGTAATGTTACATTGGAGAGGCTATCGAACCACTAAGATATTATATGGGAAAATTTAAATCGATTAAGCACCCAGCATCAGCAGAAGAAATCGTATCCCAGCCCAAGACATGATAGACAAAGAGTTAACCCGCATCCTTTAAATTTCCGCATTTTCAATATCCAGTTATGAATTCAACTGATTAAGTGATCAACTGAGAGAGTTGAGTTCAAATTTAAACAACGGAGTCAAATAGAAATTAATAGTTAAATTAATTAATAGTTATGGTGCACGTTAAATCTGTCGGATCACAAAGTCCACCAAACTCTCATAACAAATCAATACTTCCGGGGGTTGGGGGTACTGAAGGAATGATCATTCCCTGGTTCAGGCCAAAATTACGATCTGTGGAAGAATGAATGGGTTCGCCCTGTAAAACGAGCTCTGACGTGTGTGTATGAGACTGATGACTTTTTTGGCCATAGATGGCGCCTCTGAATAACAAGAAACGCACCCTCTGCCTTAAAGTCGTTTGGTTAACCAGCAGGCTTGCTGGTTCTGGCAAGTGACGTACAATAAAAACAACAAAAAAGAATTTCATTTAATTTTTTTTTATTAATTAATATAGCAATTTTTCTGGATGCTGCATTTTGTGTAATTTGTTTCAAACTAATTTTGATAAATAAATAATTCGCTGTCTACAGCTATAAAGTTGCTTTGAATGGCTGCTGATAGTGAAGCTTGTTTTTTATTCTTATTTCGTTAACGTTCGTAAATGCACTTTTTATATAAGGCTGTATTTTACTTGCAATTGACTTTTATTAACCTCAGAAATTTCTTTTCCAGATAGTTTTTCATTCCTCTCCAGCAACTCTTCTTAATTACTTTCCACGTGATATATTACCAGTCCATTATGGAGGAGATCTAGAAAACTATGACATGACTCCTTGGCTACAAAGAGTTATGCAACCGGAGGAATTGGAAAAAATGATTGGTGGAAAATATTTAGCAGACAGCCCACCTCAATGAAACTTGATATTTATCAGCTAAAATACATTATTTGATTTTGTATAGTGAGAAAAAGGAACAGAAGTCACTGTCTTAATGGGAAAACGGCTAATGAAAGGTCTAGATATTCATTGTTACGAAATGTGAGCCAGCACAAGACCGTTTATGAACAGAACAAAAGACCGTTATGAACAGAACCACGTTTATGAACAGAACAAAAGACCGTTATGGACAGAGCCCCGTTTATGAGCAGAACAAAAGATCGTTATGAACATAAGAACGTTTATGAACAAACCGTTTACGACAGTTTATTTTAAAACATAAAACACATTTTTATAATAGGAAAACTGTTTATATATTTATTAAAACTTTTTTTTGTCATCCCATAAACTGCAAATATTTTTGGTGTATTATTGCCGCAATTTTTGATGTCAAGATAAACAATAACCATTTTAAGTACAGAACTATGGTTATCGTGCAAAGATTTACATAAAATTAACATAATAACAATTGCTTGAAAAATTTAATGCGAATATGTTGCGAAGAATGTGCTTGTTTTTTTAAAAAAAACTGTCTTTTGCTTTGAATCCATTAAATTTATTCGAATGAGTTGATGAAAATATGTGTTGCCAATAAACAATCAAACAAAAAAGTAATAGATAAATAAAACTATAGCAGTGAAAAAGTAAATAAAAAAAAATTAATTATATGCACTGTAAAAAATTTAGTTTTTCCGTACATCGAAAATTGTGGCAGCTACGCACCAAAACTTTTACGTATTTTATAAACTAATTGGATAGCAAAAAGTTAAGCCCAATTTTTGTATTTTTCCTTTCATGAGTAAAATCACTGCAACATCAACTTTCATCATCATTTGCATAAAACAGCTCTCAAATGATTAAATACCTTTAATTAGATCATTTATGTATATTTATGTAAATATGAAGTTATTTATGTATGTAAATAATAAATAATTAAAAACCTGAATTTTGTGTTCAATGCCAAAACATATTACATTTATCATTTTTAGGTAGGCATTCATATAAAAACTATATTTTCAGACAACCCTATAAGAAATAACAGAGAGCATTGTATCTTGGACTGCGTGTAATTATACTTGTACGACTGTAATTATTTGTACAACTACAAAGAGGAATTTTGCATTCATTATATCGCTTTCCAATGATGCAACCCGGGTTCGAATTCCAGCGACAACAGATTGATACGAATTACTCATCCGCCTTGCCCCGAACACACTGCTGACGTAAAATATCCTCAGTGGTAGACGGATCATATGTTAAAGTCCCCTTGCCGACAGGCTAACATTTAAAGGTTTTCGTGGTTTCCATTACCATATGACGCAAATGTGGGTCAGTTCCATCAAAAAAGTCCTCCAAGAAAACAAATTTCTTCCTTCCAAATACTTTATCCAAAAGTTTTCTTCTGGACTGTGCTTAAAATTACAAGGCTACGAGGGTGAACATTAGTAGTCGTAAACTCAAAATCGGGTCAGCTGTTAAACGATAAAAAATCATATAAAAACGATATAAAATAAAAAATCAATTTGATTAGAAAATGGAACCTTTAGTACTTACATTTGAAAGCAAAAATTCCAAAATCTCATTCTGTTCAATAATATTTATTTTTGAAAAAATTATAATTTCATGTAAAAAAAAAAATTAACGAAAACAATTTAATTTCGTAAGCCTTAAGAGAATCAAAAAAGTGCATACCATGTTTTATTATGGCACGTGTCACTTACCGTGTTACACATAAAGTATTTGCAAGGCATGTAAAACAGATCTAGTTAACACAAATATATTTCCTTGTAAACTATACACCGGTAAAATCTACCATGTTTTTGACTCCATCGGAACTCCAAAAAAATTCTGCAGAATCTCTTTGGTAATTATTTTATTTGATTAGTTTGTTTAATTAGTTCAATTTGTTTGATTAAAATTAAAAATAAGATATAGTTTCATAATATGTGACAAAATTTTGAAAATTTTATAACATTTGGTAATTTTTTCATGATACCTTGGCATGGAATAAAAACCCATTATTCGGCAAAATTTATTTTTCAGATTCACATCTTTTACTAAACTAGGAGGCTTCGCCTCCTGATCGCTGGCGCTCGCCAACCCCCGGAACTGCTTTCGCAGTTCATTTCGGATTGCTTCGCAATCCGATGCTCGCTCATTGGATACGTTCTTAACGTCTAGCTTTTGTATACTTTTTTAAACACTGGAGTTCCGAAAACTTTTCACTGTAGAAAATTATAAACCTGTGCATTTCAATATTAATTTGAAATTGCAAACAGTTCACATATTTTTTTAATCACACTATTCTAAATTTCTGTTGTTGAGAAAAGTAACTATTGTAAGTTTTGTTTTAAAGTCTTTCCCACCAGAGGGCTAAAACCATGTGTTGTAAAACAATATGAAATAGTACTGAACTCCGGATGTAAGGCATCGGCTTCGATGAAGTTAATTTTGTGAGAATTTTTTTGATAATTCGGTGAGAATTCACCCGATTAGACATATGATGCTCACTACGTGCTCTTGCACGCCGAAGCCTATCAATTAAAACGTATCAGCGTTTTATGTAATATAGATTAGCCATATGATGCTCACTACGTGCTCTTGCGTGCCAAAGCCTATCAATTAAAAATGAAAACTGTTGCCAACGCGAGAAAAGAAATATCATCGGTTTTATTGATACATACGTATTAGCGTTTTATATAATATAGATATGTGGAACTATTATTTTGAAAACCATAATTTCCGAAAAACCATTACCATATGGATGGAAAAATTACCAAATAACTGGTTTAATTACCGTACATTTTGGTTTTATTAACCAGACTTCTTAACGGAAAAACCAGTTTTCTTAACGGAAGTGTCAGTACAAAATAGTACAGAAGTTTTGCCAGAATTTAATTTTTTCACCGTGCATCTCTCACTATAAGTAATTGCTTGTTGTTCTAATCATAAATTTTGGCCATAATTTTCAAACTAAGAAAGTCCTTATATCCTTCTAAGAAAGTCCTATATATATATA